TTCTTTACCACTGAGCCACCAGGGAAGCCGGGGCCTTTCATTTCATTGGACGATTCTGAGGTGGATGGACTGTGAACAGTACTTGAAAAACACTGATTTCAGAAAAGGGAAGGGGAAGAGAAATGCTCAGTGAAATCCATGAAAGAGCAGTAGGAGTGGAAGGAGAGGGACTAGTTGTGGAGCAAAGAAGACAGCTCCAACAAGAGAGGGAGGGGTCTGCCCACCATCTCTCCACCAGCCTGCTTGCATCGGTCACCCCAAGTGTAACAGCCCAGAAGGTGCTGTCAAAATGGGAATGTGTCACCTACAATGAGTCATACATTTTTGGTCCTTGCAGATCCACAGTCTTGGGTCCATATGTGTTTTAGAATTCAAAATTTGGGGGATACTGGAATTCCCTGGCAGTCCAGGGTTTAGGACACTGCACTACCACTGCGGGGGGCTTGAGTTTGACTCCTGGTCAGGAACTGAGATGCCGCATGACGCAGGGCGTGCAGTCAAAAAACAAAAACAAAACAACAACAAAGAAAGAATTTGGAGGATATTAGAAGCCTGCTTACTCCATATATTATTTAAATCTCCAACAGGGTCTAAGATAATATCTAATTGCCAGATACAAAAGTACTTCTGCAACAAAATGTATAAATATTTATACTGAGCAATACAAGTGAAGAAAAGAATCTCGTATCAGTTTAAGCTAGGTGACAAATAAAGCTAAGTTGTATTAAGTTTTACCCTAAGCTGAGTTACAAAAACAAGCAAACTAACCAAAAAAAAAAATAATAATAAAACTACCTTCTAGTTCTCAGAGCTTTACGGATTTCAAAACTGTAGATAAAAGTTCATGGGTCTCTGCCACCTGGTCATGCCTTCTACGGAATGTGTTTGTCAGACCACAGTTAATTTTTCTATAACATTTGTTTTGACAACACCAATTTATTTTAATATCATTGATATATTCGGGAATAGTCTGAGCATAACTCAAATTTCACATTTATTTTTGCACATTCTTTCTGCAAGAAACACTAGGTGAGAGTCCATGATACAGAGTGAAGTAAGCCAGAAACATAAACACCAATACAGCATACTAACACATATATATGGAATTTAAAAAGATGGTAATGATAACCCTATATGCAGGACAGAAAAAGAGAGACAGATGTATAGAACAGACTTTTGGACTCTGTGGGAGAAGGCGAGGGTGGGATGATCTGAGAGAATAGCATTGAAACATGTATATTACCAAGTGTGAAACAGACCACCAGCCCAGGTTGGATGCATGAGACAAGTGCTCAGGGCTGGTGCACTGGGAAGACCCAGAGGGATGGGATGGAGAGGGAGGCGGGAGGGGGGATCAGGATGGGAAACACATGTAAATCCATGGCTGATTCATGTCAATGTATGGCAAAAACCACTACAATATTGTAAAGTAATTAGCCTCCAACTGATAAAAATACATGGAAAGAAAAAAAAGAAACACTAGGTGAACATAGAAATCTGCACCCAGCTGAACCAACAAGGTAGGAATACACAACACACACGTATCTCAAACTATTGACTACCTGAATTCGTCACATGTGCTATTCTATGAGGTTGTGTTTTCTGTTCATTCACACTTGTGAGCTTTTCTATACAAATACTCATTCAACATCCCAAACCTAAGAGTCCTGATTCAAAACACCAAGCAGTGCACACACAAAGGAAAGCAGCACATATATGTGAGGACCTCAAACGGAAAACCCCAGACCCTGCAAAAGTGGCTCCACTTTATGCTAATAGTGGCTGCTTCAATTGCTTCAAACATCAGTACAATTTTCCAAAGCTTTCAGCTGCCCAGTGAAACTGCAAGAAAATGAGAAAACTGCAAAAGAATGTCTAACCATACAAATTTAATCGAAGAAAGTTGTACGTTAGATCCAATTTTTTTATTTTGATGGAAGTTTTTTTTTGTAAACAAATGTTTGGAAAGATCTGCATGTCAAAGACAGAAAACCATGCTCCATGATTTAAAGCTGTGAATGATCACTTAACTGCAATCTTTGGATCACAAACTGAGGACAGTGAGTTGCAGCCATTCACATCCTAGTATTACAACTTTTTGTGGATTTCAGAAAAACCTCCTTCTGGCACTTCACAATAACTCACAAGAGGCAACCCTCCCAATGCCCACTTCAAGTACACACCAATTCTTTTTCAAACTAAAGTGCCATATGTATTTTAATATTTATGAATGTCATAACCATTTGACATGGTACAACTTTTATTAAGTTCTTATCTTTGTAAGTTCTTATGTTTACTGACAAAGCTTTTGAGTCCTGTCCCTTTAATCTCATTATCCCATAAGTTCTATGCTTTTTCTTGTGCATTTATGCAGATCTTGGGTATTCTCAGGGGTGCATATAGATCACATTACAAAAGAACTGACTGTACCTCTGGGATTCAACAAGATCTTCAAGGAATAAGATTAGAATGAATAAATCTTGATGAGGAGAAGGGTAGAAAATAATCTTAATGGTCAACTGTAATGCCCACCACCCAAAATGTGTGTGACATATAATAGAAATACAATAATCAAAAAAGCTAATAAGTCATTTATCTCTGAGTGACATATGGAGAGTAATTCATTGTCTTTATTCTTTAATGAATATTCCAAGTTGTCTGCAATTCTATCTTTATAATAACAAGTAAGCACATAAATTATTGAGTTTCATTGTTTTACTATTTTCTTGTGTCTTTTGAAATCTGGATCTCAATCGAGTAATTCAGGCTCAGGTAGGAAATGACAGCTAGGGTTCCCCCACATTCCTGGATGCCTGCGTTGAGAGTGATAGAGCACCTGAAAAGTCAAGCTTTCCCTTCTTCACAATTTTGCCCTGGTCCAGGTCTACCAAACCCTTAACCCTCAAGCCTATCCAGGCTTCCCTTGGTACCAGGTTCAGGGCCTCCTCTCAGGGAGACGAGAGTTGGCTAAGACTTCCTTTCCAGATCTACTGTCATCTACTGGACCAATCGCTAAAAGGGGATTGGGGACGTCAAAACCAAATACCAATCTCCAGGTCTTAGATCCTATCCTCTTTCTTAGAAAATCCAGCCTTAATCCGGTTTGCATTTTTCCGCAAAAGCAGCTTATTCGCTAATGGAACAGTCAGATTCCTCCACTTGTTCATTTGTTCACACAGAAAAAGCTGCCTGAGAGACCACCTGTATTGGTATGGCAGCTGACTAAAGGGTTGTTTTTTCTGAAAATAGATTTTCAGGGAAATTCTCGGGATTTTGTGCATGTCAGAGTCACTATTCCAAGTAACAATGTGTAGCCCCACAAAGTAGTTTCCTTGTGTTCTGTGGAAGTCCTACTACCTGGCAGACAGAATTAAAATGTATGTTAATTTCCAAAGCAATGAGGTTTCACCTCTCCTTTCCCCACCTGATGCAGAGACAACGAAACTGTTCACCCAGTATCTAGAATTTGCCAATTCAGAAATCTTTGTTGGGTCCAATTCTAAAGTAATTATCCAGACATAAGTCCCAGTGACTTAAAGGGAATTTGATCAACGAAAAAAACAAAACAAAACAAAACCTATTAAATCATGCTGCAAATACAAGATATATTAGATTGTTAATTTACAAACTGGAGTGTTTTCTGTAAAGTAGCTAAAATCTCCCTTCTCAGAAAGATTGAACTTTTAAAATTACTTATTAATATTTAAGAGGCACAATTTGCTTTTACTTGATAATGTTTTGTCTCCTTTCCTACACTGTCAATGTCTAACACTGAAGGTATATATAAGAAGCTGTTTTATAATATAATGACAGGATATGAAAGACTTCCTATAGGGAAAAAAAAATGTTTTAAAGTAAAAACCTCTTTCACCAGCTTTTCTTTACCTGAAACATCCCAAAGTTAATTAAGTACTTGGCCTATTACCATCAGCTATGTCTACAGTGTGCTAAACCAAATTTTGGAGTTGAAATGAACTGCAGCATTTAGAAATGGTCTTGTTTTCTTTATAAGGGAAAAAAACTTGTCCAACAAAGTGCATGGATTTTTTTTTTTTTTCATAGCACTGAATTCTTCTATGCCCCTAAGGATAAGTTGGAGGAGAACCCTTATATAGTTTAGATTCTGAGAGCTCATAGTCAAGTAACACAGTCCTAATTGGGAGAGAAAGGAGACAGTGGTAGAGGAGGAAAAGTTGAGTGAATCATCATGTTGTAGATACAGGCACTTAGAAATTTTTCAACCTCTGTCTTTTGTATGCTCTTTTTTATATGTTTTTTATCAATTCAGTACATGTTATGACACATTTAAGAATATTAAGTTAATTTTTACTATCCCTGGTGTGGTCTATAGGGGGTACTGGGTAATTGTTTGGTAATTGTTTTGACTAAATTAGTAATTCTTTTGAACAACTTGTGTAGCTAATCTAGTTTTTCACTGACTTAAGCAATTTTTTGTTTTTTTACACATTGGACGAGTAAGCCTAAGCACCCTTAGCCTCTGAGTAGGTAACCCAGACTATGCAGTTCTGTCCCCAAGACTATCTCTGGCTCAAAGGGAGAATAGGAAAATAAATCAATCCAAAGAACTTTCAGACTTCTGAGGAATGCTGGGATCAGCCGTGATGAGCCCTTACTCATCTTTCTTCCAGTTCTGGTGAGATGACTCAGTAGTAATAAGATGATTCACCATTGTCTCACAAGCAATTATAAAAATATCCCTCTGTGTGTGGTTTAAAAAAAAAAGTTCAGAGATCAAGCTAATGAAGTAAATTTCATGTAGACCTATATACTATATTCTATTAATATAAAACAAAGTCAGCTTTTCAGTCTTTTCTTATTACTAAAAACTGTTTTAAAGTCCCTCTAATATGACATCTTCTAAGAATAGCTGGAACAGTGTGGATACTCACTGTAACAGAGCCACCCATACATGAAGACAGCAGGCAAGAGAAAATGAGAGCTCTACTGTATTGAGTGACTACTATGTGCTCTTTTTAAAGATGGGGAAACAAGGGCCCAGAGATACTCAACCTTGCCTGAGGTCACATAGTTATAAGCAAGATTCAAGGTGAGATTGTCTAACTCCAAAGTGTTTCCACTGCACTGTGGTTGATAGCCTTACAAAAATGTACCTTCACAACTCTAAATAAAAAAGTTCTCTCCCACCCAAGCCTCTTCACCCTTTAGGAGGCAATTATCAAATTGCCCTATGCTTTGGGGCCTGGGCTCTAGTGACAGATAATTTGCCATTTATTAATGTATGATCCGGAGCAAGTTGAATAAATTCTTTAAGCCTCATAAATTATATTTTTAAAATATAAATATTTTATATGATTATAAATATGTATGTCAAAGGATGGTTGTGGAGATTAGGTGTGATAATGTTCTAAAAGTATGAGTACATAGTAAATATTTTATAAGGGACCATTATTATTAACTATTATTAATTTTCACTGAAATAATGACTCCAAAGATATGGTGTTTTTTAATCATTGCAATGGGTTAATAACATTCTCTCCTCCTCTCTTTCTAATCTACTTTTAACTTTTTATTAATATTAGCCTCTTTTTTCTTTGAAACTTTATATTTAACTTTTTCTTATAGAAAATTTCAAACATAAATTAGAGATTAGAAACTCCAATATACATCATTCAGCTTCAACAATTATCAACTTATAACTAATGGTCTAAAGGTTAACACCAGTAGGAAAAATCCTCTTCAATTTACTTGTTGTATAGAATCACTTGAGTTTCTCTTATTAAAATGCCAAATATTCCAGAAATTGTTTTCAAATATATTGGGTTGGCCAAAAAGTTCATTTCCTTAACATCTTTTGGAAAAATCTGAACAAACTTTTTGGCCAACCCAATGTAAATACTGCTCACAGTTACTTCCCTCTTTGCTCATTAAAAAAAAAAAAAAAATAGGCCAGTCTTTTTGGAATCACAGTATACAGCATAACAAGCTGAGAAAACTTTACAAATGATATATGATCCAACAAATTCTCAAATCTCAGCATGGAATCAAGAAAAGAACATGAACTCGAGAAGGGTCTAAGATCTGTGAAAAGTTTACAAATCCTCTAGTAAATTTTTTTTCCTGAATCTGATCCAAGTGTTGGATTCTAAACAAAATACAAAGAGAATGAGTTAAACCAAGCTTTGTCTCCTAGTTAGAGGAATTCCCCATAGCTCTATCATTGAAAATTGGGCCTTTGTCTTCCAATGTGGGCCTCCAAAGTTTAGGTTGTTGATGCAGAACCACTGAAGTTATTGTAAACCACATCTCATGGACTCCAAAAATGGTTTCTTGGTAATGGGGAACTAATTATGTGATTACTAGACTCCCTTCATGTACCATTAGTCATATGAAGCTGGAAAATATGCCTGTTTTCAAGGCAAATTGCTCATTTTGAATTATGCCTCAAAATGGAGTCTCTCCTCTGTAGGCCTAAACTAAAAACCCCCAAGCCAAATTTTCAATTATAACTTCTAAACAGCCATCTTTAGCTAGGCCTGTGAATGATCTAGACTGAGTTGGGGAATCTTCTAAATGGGAGACAGAAATGAAAAGACTGGAGTCTTCTGCAGATTTTCTTCCTTTCCTACAAGTGCTTGAGGGGAATTCAAATCACAGCCATCTTTTTTCCCATAACTCAGAAAAACCCAGCGTAACGATTATTTCCCCTGACAAATCTATGATTCACCAAGATACTGGCTCCGCTTCTCTGATAATGACAACTGACCTCATTTTCCAGTCCAGATGCACAGGCTCATCCTTCTGAGGTGGTTATAGCCCTCGAACTAGGAAGACGACAGCACTGTTAGGAACGGGGCCTGACAGAGTTCATCCACGGCAGAAGGAAGAAGCCCTACTAGCATGTGTTATAAAGAGGAGAAACAGAACCATCACCCCTTCCCCAGAAAAGCGAGAAGGGGTGGGTGGTGGGGTAGGGAATAGAATATGGCTGCAAGAAAGCCAGGGAGAACGAGCGACTCCAAAACTTGCTAGGTCAAGAACTCCTTCGGGCACAAACCGCATCCCATTCATTTCTGTAACCACAGTGCTTGGCACACAGTAGGAATGCAATGAATGTTTGCTAAATTCGATTTAATTGAAATGAGAAGAAACAGATTGACCCAATGTAGCTGGCAGTGTCTCTAAACATAATTAATTCTGGAGATTCTCAAAGTCATCTGAGAGTTGCTTGCAGGCTCAGTAATAATTTTCATCTAATGACAGCTCCTTAGACCCGATATGAATTTCATTAAGCAAGTCAGCATGCCAGCAGCTAGAATATGAGCAAAATGTTAAAGAAGATCTGTGTATCACCAGGGTCAGGGGACAGAACAGGATATGGGTTAATTACGTTCTCTCAAGCTTTTGCTGTGTGGAATTTGTTTCCTAGAACGGGAGCAATCTGTTTCAGATGGGAATCAGGGTGATAACAAGTAGGATTCTGCCAGAGTGTGTGTGGCCAGGACCCGAGCTGCTGACTTCAGGGATACTGAGCTGTGGCCAGTCCCAGCACTGCAGGCACACCCTGGAGGGTGCCACACAAAAGCTGTGCATCCTAGGCTGGCAAGTGATGTCAGCCAAGCCAAAATTAATTGCTCAGATTGGGCTTTGGTCCCCTTTAAAACAACTCTACGAGGCAGTCTGATTTCTACTGTGACGTTCACTGTTTTAAGTTCCAAATGACACTCAAGTTCAATCTTGTTTCAGCACCAAACTTTTCATTCAGGTGTGGTCTCAGCAAAGCTGATAACAATTCCGCACTTTCCCTGACCTTGTCCCAACTTTCCTGTAAACAGGTAGGAGATGGGGAAAGAAATGCAGAATGGTAACCTAATACCAACTCCAGCTCTTGGGTGGCTGGTAACTTGTTCTATTGTGTCTCTTTCTGCTTTCTGCTACCACTTTAATGTAGTCAAAGGAAAGGATGTGATACTGGAGGTCTAAGAGACAGCACTGTAAATTGTGTCTTCTTTTCATAAGCTGAAGATGAGCCTTATACCAATAAACATCTGGGCCTCCCATTGTTCTGTGTCTGAGTATCAGGAAGTTTTGGTAGCAGACACAATGCGAAATGCTAGAGACAAAAATAATTACTTAAATCAGTACAAGTTATGCTGGTGTGTTGATTTAAGATGCTCTGTTAGTACCAAGTTAGGGCTTGATTTCTTTTTTGTTGTGTTTGCTTTCTTCCCAAGTGAATGAATTAAAGAAGTACAAGACCGGAAACTGAAGAGTACATAAGGCAGGTAGGTGGGATTTAACGAGTTAAACCTTTAAGCTTTACAGAAAGCTAGACTTTTAGGGGACAAAAAGTTGCTGACTAGAGGCTTAAATTGCATGCTTTCATCTTTGGGATGACAGCTAATTAAATGTGTCTTTACAGTATCTTAGATTTGATACTCTGCATGACAAAGCATGACCTGGCATTGTGTAAACAGAATTTTCTATGTTTCCAAATGCTGTTTAGTAAAGATATATTTCTTTTATAATAAGGAAAAATTAATGTATTAACTATCTGAAAAGTGATCCCTCAGGAAAACAAGAGAACGGATGAAAGATTTGATTCCAGTTGAAAGGGTTTGTGTTCAAGTTCTAGCTCTGTTACCTCCCAGCTCCATGAAATTGGAAAATTTCTTTTCTTCTGTGTGAACTGTCATTTTCTCACCTGTGACATAGTAAGTGGTAACACCAACCTCTTCACAGAGTTGTAACGGGGATTGAAACAGTAAAAAGTGCCTCAGACTTACTAGTCACTCAGCATATGATAGTTATGGATGGCCATGACTAGAGAACTCCCTTCAGGCCTACAGCTGTTGTAAGGAAAAAGCCAATGCCATTTTGCAAAAAAAGCATTTTTAGAAAACAAGTCAATTCTATATAACCATAAGTTTTTAAAATGCTAATTGAAAAGCACAGAACTGATATGAAAGGGTTTTTTTTTTTTTTTTTTTTGGTTGCACTGCTGGTGGGATTTCGGTTCCCTGACCAGGAACAGAACTCAGGAAGGCCTTCTGCAATAAGAGCCTAGAGTCCTAACCACTGGACCACCAGGAAATTCCCATAAGAGAGTATTTTTAAAGACTGTACAATTCAGTGGAAAAAGCCAGGAGGCCTTGGTAGTTCTAGAAAGAAAACAATCTTAGGTAAGTTTCCTTGTACCTCAGTCTCCTCATCAGACCTACCCCAGGCAATGCTGTGAGGGTCATAAAAAAAGCACATGAAAGAGCTTTGAAAGCTAAAAGATCTATAGGCACAGAAGATAGATGTTACTATAATTCCATAATTTGAAAGTATACATACATATTAGTATCTACTCAGAGTTTGCTCATGCTTTTGAAACATAATCTACCTAACCAGCAGCCCTAATACAAAACCAAAAAAAAAAAAAAAAAGATTTTGCTCGGTATAAGAAAGAAGTCTCCCGAAAACTAGGTTGAGAAAAAAATCTTATTTCTATATACACTTTTACAAATGATTCAGATAATGTGGTATGAATTGATTCTCTGTATGTTCCAGAAAATTTGCAAAAAATATCAACAAATCTATAAAACCAAACAGGCAAACAAGCATTACATGTAACAACCTATTGGTTTTTCTAGAATCTTAACTAATAGAACTCTTGTTTATTCATCATACACAGTCTCTTTGTTTTATTTACTTATTTCTTATTAATGGATGAGTCAAAAATGGAAGGTCCTGGCAGACAAGGATCCTGGGACATGCCTTCACACATGGCTGGTGAATAATTGATTTAAAATAATCACTTTAAATGACACACATTCATTGTTGGTGTCAGGTTCAATGTTACTAGCCTTTGGAAAGCAATATGGCAAAATCTATTAAGAGCCATAAAAATGCCCATATAGTTTTTCACCCAGTCATCACACCCCTGGGGGTTTATTCTAAGGAAATAAATCATGCACAAAGATGTTTGTGGCAGTTTCATATGTAAAAGTGAAATCACTTAAATGTTCAACCATGGTTGTAACAAACAATAATTATAAAGATAATGCAGCAACCCAGAACCATATTAATTAAAAATTATTAAACTACAAATATTAAGTATAAAATGGCATCCTAACATGATTTCAGATCTATAAAATTTTGATATGTGAATAATAACCAGAAAAATATGCAAAAATAAAAAATAAAGAAGATATGATACATAATTTAAATTTTTTTTCTTAACTATGCTATTTTTCACAATTAAAAAAATAAATATCAGTTGAAATGTTTTTCATTTGAATAGAACTGTAAGGGGATGAGCTGGCATGATCTTATTTGATTGTCAACACAACCCTGGAGAGATGGCAAAGGTGTATCCATTATCATTTGACAAATGGAGTATCTCAGACTTAGAGAGATCCAATTTTGTCTAGAGTCCCTCTTGGAAAGTAACTGAGCCAGGGCTTGAACTAAAAGTGTCTCCTGACCCTTAGTCCAGTGACCTGTCTCCAAAGTTCCTGAATCTGACCAAGCCTCTAGATCCACATACCAATTTATAAGAAACACAGATGGAAGGTAGAGGAATATGTTAGGTACACTGCAGGGATACAATCTACAAAATCCAGGCATGAACAGTTCTACAGGCCAAACAGTCTCATTTCTTCAGCAAATAAATAACATCACATGAAGAGAGAGAGGGGGGAAAGGGAGAGAGACATACAGATTAAAGAGACAAAAAACATCAACAAATCATGTGTGAACTGCATATGAACACTGATTTCAATAAACTATTTTTTAAAAAAAAGGAAATTTGTGAGACAATTGCAAATTAAAATACTGACTAGATATTTGATGATATTAAAGAATTATTGTTAATTTTTTGAGATATGAAAATAGTACTCTGTGTTTTTATTTAGAGGCTTTATTTTCTGAGATATGTGCTTAATTACCTATGGATGAAACAGTATGATGTCTGGGGTTTGCTTCAAAATAATATGGGAAGTGGGAACGAAAGATTTAGGTGAAATAAGAGTGTTCCTGAGTTAAAGCTGAGTGTGATGGGTACACGGGGTTTCATTATACTATTTTTCTATTTATATTTGTTTAAAAATCTTCCTTAATAAAGAGGGGTTTTTGAAAATAAATGGCATCTATATTTGTTAATTTTCATCTTACCCTTCTCCCATTAGTAAAGGAAAAGTTTAATACAATAACCTGGGTTGAAAATGAGAAGCTACAGCTGCATAACTTTTAATTCTTTTAATATTTATTTATTTGGCTGCACCAGGTCTTAGTTGCTGCACACAGGGTCTGTGTTTTGGTGCACAGGCTCTCGTATGGCTCTCAGGTTTAGCTGCTCCAAGGCATGTGGAAGCTTAATTCCCTGACCAAGGATTGAACCCACATCTCCCACATTGCAAGGTGGATTCTTAATCACTGGACCACCAAGGAAGTCCTAATAATAATAACGCAAACAATATCTTTGGTAGGCTACAGAGTAGAGCACAATGAATGAAATTGCCTGATACCTTTTCTGCAATTTAAATGTTTTCCTTGTTTCCTTGTCTGTAAGGGGAAGGATAATCACGTCCACCTTGCAGAGTTTGTGCAGAGATGAGACAATGCATGTGGAATGCCTGGCCCACAGAGGACCGTGAGTACATTATAGTCTGCCTCTTAGTCTAGTGAAGCCAAAGGCTTTGTTGACCAAAGATGTCAGATGAGAGCTCACTTAGCCAATGGGCATAAGGGAATCCTGAATTTATGGTTCAATGGCTCACCTAAAACGCTGCCACTCAACAATGAGGCCTGCAGCCCAACTATCCATTCGCCTACTGCATATCTCTAAGGCAAAGAGTTGGCAAAGTCTCTATTCAGTATTTCTGAACACTAAAATAGACTACCACGTTGACTGGGAATAAATGAACTATTTAACCTCAAACATTTGGACTAGAATTTTTTCATCTTCAAAACATTCGTCAGCAACAAATACTTGGATAAAATATTTCCTTTCTGTGACAAAGTCAGTGTCACTCTGGCTTATGAAACCTCAAACACCTGTGTATAAACCAGGATCCAGCCAACGTCTTTATCTACCATCACATGGACTTGGAACTGGGAATGAGCATGAATGCTCAACATAGTAAAGGCTACGGCTTTTTAAGAGAATTTCTGGGTACTTTCTGCCATTTGATCTTTCCATAATTATGCCACAAGATGCCAACTGCCAAACACAAAAGTGAGAAGCTCTAAGAGCACCATATAATGTTTCTTTTCTTAAATTATAGTATTATCATTATTATTACTACCAAAGTAACACATATTATCTGTATCTTCAAATTCAGATAAACAAAAAGAAAAAGTTAAACTCCCTGCTGTCCCACAGCACATAGACGACTAATGCCTGGCTAGCTTTTTAACATTTTGGAATTCATCTTCCAATTTTTCTATATGGATTTACCTTTTTCCCTTCTTTACCTTGCCATTTTTCCCCAAACTGGGATAATATTGTATCACAGGTTTATAATTTTTTTGGGTTACATAACAACATATCATGAAACTTTCACATTATCTTCTATTGTTTCATTCTTAATAGCTATGTACTATCCGATCATATGGACATACTATAATTTATTTAATAATTCCCTATACTGGGGACTTCCCTGGCAGTTCAGAGGTTAAGACTCCACACTTTCACTGCAGGAAGTATGGGTTCCATCCCTGGTAGGAGAACTAATATTCCACATGCCTCAGGATGAGGCCGAAAAACAAAAAAGCTTGTACTGGGTACTTTCTCTACTAACATAATCTGGTTTATTAGTGAGAAAGTTGGGAAATTCTGCTTTAGTAGATCCAGACTTAAACCTGATATCCAAATGGGCTGAATGCAAGCAAGAAAGCCTGAATCTAAAGTTCAAAACCTCTTTGAACTTTGGCGCTTCCATTCAGGTGCCTCAGAAGGCTTGCACCTGTGAGGCCGCCTCCCTAGCTCGGCTGGAATTCCCAACGGGACCCATGCCATGCGACGGAGCAGGCAGCTTTGTTTCTCCAGAATCCCATGGGAGCATTCATCTCAGGGTTCAAGCAATGTCATGTTTGCAAAGACTGAGTCAGAACCTCCACCACCCACCAAATGAAAAGCATTTTTACTGTAGCTTTGTTTCAAGTTTTGCCACAGAAATAAAAGGAATGTGGGGGAGGGTGAGAGAAAATACCAAACTTCAAGCATGTTTTCATTTCCAGTTGGGTGGCTGATGCTACATCTCCTTCCGCTTCTTGGGTTCTCAGCACCAACTCCCATCAGTCACTGGAGTTGCTTTGACTCTCATGCAATCCTAGACATCCAACTTTATACTCTGGGTGGTTTTGCCCATGAGAAAATGAATGACTCTTGAACAGAAGAAGGAAACCCAGAAGCAACTGTGAAAGGAAGTCAGATGTGGTTGAGGTAGAAAGTCCTTCTCAGAATGTGACTTTTTCCAATGTTGGTTTTTCTGTACAAACAATATAAAGCCAAAAAGCTGGCAACAGGATTCATCCTAAAGAAGAAGGAAAAAATATGGGTATGTAAACATATACACATTTCTTTACAAATATTTTGGAAACATGAGGTCCAAAAGAATGGTTAGTGTTTTATGGAGGAGAGAGAGAATGAGAAGACCGAGAGGGAGCCAGGGCAAGGCACACAAGGACAATTATTAAGGCGCCCCCTCCCAAAAAAGAAAGAGGTAGAGAATTTTCTGCAAAACCTGGATTATCTCACTGCTTTTGAGTGTTTGCAATGAATATTTTTTTCCTCCAAGCAAATTAGTTACCAGAAAAATATACTGCCTCCCAGCCCCGTGCTCTGCCTGACAGTACCTGTCAAAAAGATAAGATCTTTCAATGAATTAAAGAAGGTGAAAGGCCAATCCCTCCCAGGCATCTGGCTGTGATTTACATCAGTATAATTATATCTTCTATTGCTGTGGGAAATTGACTATACCTACAGGGAAAAGCTACTCATATATAGGAAGTTTCCTTTTTAATTACTAAGAATGCAAATCTGCAACTATTTTTGGGCCAATCTCGTGTTGTGCTTGGGTGGGGGGAGTATGGTCTACAAACATGGAGACATTTTTTTCTTCATGAGTAAAAAATCTCAAGATAGAATTGGGTTAGTATTAAAGAGAAAAGGAAAACAAAGGATTGATATCAAGTCCAGTAATTCTTTAATTGTGAATATGCGTGCACTTGCATGTTCTGGGAGGGGTTTGTCTCTTAAGTCCTTCTATATGTTTTATTTCCATACACAAGATAGCTTATTAAACAGATCGTACCCTTGTAGTTGTTCTTTGAGTTGCATTTAATCTGAGACTTTGATAAGTATCTTGATCCATTTGAGGTTTTGCTCCTTTGCATCATGCTCTACTTTCTACTTCATGTACCCTTGAATGTTATCATGCATACCTGTGTACATAAAAAAGACATGTCACTGTGTACGCCCACTAGTATATGTACACATATAAAGTATTTTTATTTAGGCAGAGTCCTGTCTACATTCTTCATTTTTCACTGAAGGAGTGAAACAATTTTAATTATTAACGGATTCTTCTTAATTTCAACATTAGTCTCAGGGGATGTATTACTTTAAAAACATTAGTCTATGTTGCTTATTTAAAAGTAAGCAAAATTTAAACTTAAATTGAAGAAAGTAGGGAAAACCACTAGACCATTCAGGTATGACCTAAATCAAATCCCTTACAGCGAAAGTGACAAATATATTCAAGGGTTTGATAGAGTGCCTGAGGAACTATGACATTGTACAGGAGGTGGTGATCAAGAGCAACCCCAAGAAAAAGAAATGCAAAAAGGCAAAATGCAAAAAGGTCTGAGGAGGCCTTACAAATAGCTGAGAAAAGAAGAAAACTAAACGCAAAGGAGAAAAGGAAAGATAAACCCATCTGAATGCAGAGTTACAAAGAATACCAAGGAGAGATAAGAAAGCCTTCCTCAGTGATCAGTGCAAAGAAATAGAGGAAAACAATAGAATGGGAAAGATTAGAGATCTCGTCAAGAAAATTAGAGGTACCCAAGGAACATGTCATGCAAAGATGGGCTCAATAAAGGACAGAAATGGCATGGACCTAACAGAAGCAGAAGATATTAAGAAGTGGCAAGAATACACAGAAGAACTATACAAAAAAGATCTTCATGACCCATATAATCACTGATAGTGTGATCACTCACCTAGAGCCAGACATCCTGGAATGTCAAATCTAGTGGGCTTTAGGAAGCGTCACTACGAGCAAAGCTAGTGGAGGTGATGGAATTTCAGTGATTATATGNCAAAAGAGCCTCTTAATGAAGGTGAAGGAGGAGACTGAAAAAGCTGGCTTAAAACTCAGCATTCAAAAAAAATGAAGATTATGGCATCCAGTTGCATCACTTCATGACAAATAAATGGGGAAACAATGGAAACAGTGACAGACTTTATTTTCTTGGGCTCCAAAATCACTGCAGACGTAGATGGTGACTGCAGCCATGAAATTAAAAGACACTTGCTCCTTGGAACAAAAGCTATGACAAACCTAGACAGCATATTAAAAAGGAGAGACATCACTTTGCCGACAAAGGTCTGTATAGTCAAAGCTATGGTTTTTCCAGTAGTCATGTATGAATGTGACAGTTAGACCATAAATAAGGCTGAGAACCAAAGAACTGATGCTTCTGAACTGTGGTATTGGAGAAGAGTCTTGAGAGTCCCTTGGATTGCAAGGAGATCCAACCAGTCAATCCTAAAGGAAATCAGTCCTGAATATTCATTGGTAAGACTGATGCTGAAGCTGAAACTCCAATACTTTGGCCACCTGATGGGAAGAACTGACTCACTGGAAAAGACCCTGATGCTGGGCATGATTGAAGGAAGGAGATGAAAGGGATGACACAGGATGAGATGGTTGGATGACATCCCTGACTTGATTGACATCATCACTGACTTTATCGACATGAGTTTGAGCAAGCTTTGGGAGTTGGTAATGAACAGGGAAGCCTGGTGTGCTGCAGTCCATGGGGTCACAAAGAGTCAGGTACAACAGAGTGACTAAACTGAACTGGTGTTGCTTCCTACCTGGGATAAACTGAGTACTAAAAAAAAGAAAAAAAAAAAAACTTTGTAAATGCAATTAAGACTAATTCAGTTGCCCCTCTTCTCTCAAAAATGGTCTGATTTTATCATATAGAAATGATCCTTAAAATCTAGTACATAGTCTCGCTAATTGAGTTAGTTTAAGAACTGATCTGATATTATTTGTAACCAAGGGAATTATTTTAAACTATCAGTTTAGACTCTGGCCTAATTTTTTAATCCAGAATATCTCCATGGCAACATTTGGTGGGTTTTTAATGGATTTTTTTAAAAATTCAGTAAATCTGAGCCTTCAATTTGTAAACTTTCTCAAAGGAAATTCCAACTCTATCTCAGTTACAAATATATCATTGTGACACTGGACATGCTCAAATCTCTTGCTATCAAGCACCATCTGATCTATGTGTTGTTTAGAAAAGAGATCACAAGCTGTCTCAGGTTAATGCAGAAAGCTAGCAAGCCATCTGAAATATATGGGCTAAATGTGATTCGCTTTATCTATGTTTAGAACTAGAAGTCATCTTGTTCCACCTTCTTAGTTACAGGTGAGAAAACTGTAGCCTGAAGATGTTACATAATGGCCCCAATTTTAAAGAATAACATAATGGTAAAACTGAGACCATAACTCAAGCCTCCTCAA